CCAATAATATTGATTGATTAAACAAATAAGATTTAAGGAATAAATAAAGAATTATTCAAGTAATTAAATTTTAATCCTAAAATAATTGATTAATTATCAATAGAAAAATCTCTTTATAATTTGTAAGCAGATTTATTTATTTCTAATGATATTTTAGATGGAACATAAAATTAATATATTTTTTAATTTCACTTTCCTAAAGATTCATTTTTCTAACAAGAATTTTCAACAAATGCATAAAAAATAGCATAATTAAAAAATAATTAGAAATTATAATAATATGAAGTAAGTTATGATATAGTCAAAAGAAAAACATATAAAATAATAAAATTTAAGAAAATATTAGAAAATAAACGAAATAATCTTGTAGGTTCAGTTGACACAGTTATACCAATTATTAAAGATTTGTAAATTAATGATGAAGAATTAATTGATCATCCTTATGAATATTCTATATAGAATCCTCTCTCTTCACATTTAGTTATTCAAACTCAAAGAAAAACAGATGTCAGAATTTTAAATGAAGCACAAGAATTCAAAATTTAGTTAGGAAATGAAGAAAAAGTAAAAATATATAATTATAGTGAATCAAATATTATTGATATAGAAAATAAAACAGTGTAAATATTAGGAAATGTTTATGATCATGATTAAATCAATTAAGATAATATTGTTTTCGAAGGTTCACAAGCATCTTCAATGGCTGGTTTAAGAAAATCAGTTTATTATCGAAAATATACTCTTATTAATTAATTAAATAATTTTACCACATTTATCCCTTTATTAAACAAATTATTTGGATTTTTTGCTTTTGCACTCATAAATTAAATCATATTTATATCAATAGTAATTATTTATTTTATTTTAGAATATGTCTTTCTCAAAAAAAGATTTTTATTCTCTCAATTATTACTATGAATCAATCTAAATTAATCATTATTTTATTGAGCCTATGTAAAAGTTTTTTTTAACCCGTTATATGCTTTAAGATTACTAAATGCTGAACTTGAATTAAGCAATAAATAGAGATAAGTTTAATTATTACATTTAATTCATTAATCCTTTATTGATTGGATCTTACGATGAATTCAAATAGAACTTTTAAGATCATTTTCAAGATGAAACATTTTCAGAATTTATCAAAGATGAATATGTTATGATATAATAGTAAACTTTTCATTATGCTCCTATAAAATTGAATGAATACAATATAACGCTATATAATGCTTTTAGCATTTTGCTTGACGCCTTTCATAAGTAAAAATAGATTTACATTGTACCTTAAACAACTAGAGGAACTAATCCTCATAATACGTATTAATACAAGAACTATATCTTATTTGTGACAATTTTTGATAAAATATCTGATTTAATATATTAGGAATCTATCGAGAAGATTGATTTGGTTCTTAAAAGATGGATAATTGTAGTAATTCCAATATCAGTATCAGTGCTAATCTCTATATTACTGCTTGGATATTATTATAACTAATTTAATCATTATTTAGAAAAATTCTTTAATCTTAACATTCATATAGATTAAATAGAGCTTAACGCAGATTAAGGAAGACAATTATTTATTCTTTAAAGCTTAAAACAAGGATCAGAATTAATACATTTATATAAATTCAATTTAATTGGAAAGGAAGAAATATTAGCTAAAACAAAAGTAAAAGAAATCAAAAAGGAATTGAAAATTTTGAGTATTGAACCAAAAGAAATAAAATAATCTATTAAAATTTCTAAATTCACCCTGATTTTTTCTGTATTCGTTTTGATAATACAATATTTAATAATTGCCGGACCTTTAACTTATGCAGGATATTAATATATGAGTAAATTTTCTAAATCTATTCACTTTTTTAAATCAATTTCAGATATAGGAGTTTATGTTCCTGCATCATTTTCTCAAAAAGAAATATTATATTTTTTTTCCTATTTCACTTATTATACAAATGATGATAGAGAATTTTTTGTAGAATAAATATAAAAAGCAGTCACAAAAATTGATACTTTCTTATTATAAGATATTGAAAGTTCATAATTATAATTTTCTGCATAATTTTTGGATACTTATTAGTATTTAGAAGAAAATAATTTATGTCCATTACTTAATAGTTCAAAGTATTATGATTTTGATTATTTTTGTTCGAATTCTTAGAATGGAATTTTGAAATTGGGTTTAAGAGCATCATTAACAAATTTTAATAGCATATTAAAAAATGAATTAAGTATAAATTTCCCAAGTACTCGCAAATAACCTCCAAAAGAAGAATTAGAAGCAGTTTATTTATGTTCAGATATTATTACTGAAATTACTAATAAAATGGAATAAGATATTAAATCATAAACTTAAATTATTGAGGAATTATATAATGTATTTATAATTATATTATTAATAGATAATTACTGCTATAAGTTTGACTTATACAATAGTATTGATAATTACTATTTAATTTTCAGTTTATAAAAAATTTAGATTGAATCTTAATAGAACAAAAATGATCTCATTAATTTTCCCATTAGAAACAATTTTCTTAAATGATCATTTTGAAAGAGAATTAAGAAGAATGGTTACTAGTGAAAAATTAATTTGATTATATTTCGATATGAATTATATCAAATATTAAATTGGATAATCTTTAATCTTTATAGATTCAATTCAATTTTTCATATTAATTATATATATTGACAATAATACATCTATAATTTCTTTTTTTCTTTTTATTTATTATAAATAATAATTGTTCTTTTTATTTTAGAATTTCCCTTATTAGGCAAAGTTTTTTACATTATTATAAATTTATGAAATTTATTTATTAAAATACTTTCATATTAAATACAACAATAATTGAATAGTTTCTAAGGAAGGATGAGTCCTTTATATTTATATTCTTCATTTCATAAAATGTTGTTACTTATTTAATTTGAAAATTAATTTAAAAAAAAAGTTTTTTGAGATTTTTGTATCTCTAAAAGAAAGATTTTTAATATACTAAATTTTTCATCAACTCAGGTCAACCTGAGCAATTATCGAAATCAAAATAATTTTATATTTTTTTTAATATTCACAGGTTTATATAAAAATAAAATTGTAAATCTTTTGAAGATGTATCTAAATATTTTTATTTTCAAAAAAAAGTTAAGCAAGCAACTTATTAAAAGATTTTATCACTTGAACTATAAAAAGGGTTCATTTATCTAATTATTAAAGAAATAAATGTTGATTAATAATTGAAATAAATTTCGATTAAAAAAATATTTTACTTTATTTTCTTTTTGATATCTTCGATTAGAATATTATTTTAACTTTATTCTGATAAAATAATAGCTTTGATTAATAACTATAAGGAATCAATTTATTATATTGATAAATGATTATGAAAATATTTTTCGTGTTGGAATAAAATTGATTATTAAATTAAAATGATTGCTTAATCTATTGAAATTTTTTGTATTCAAATTGGATATTTTGACTTACACTCCAGATTTACTTAACTTCCAGCTTTCAATGCTCTTGGACAATTATTTTCATTATTATTAGTCATTTATCCTTGTCAATAAGATTTAAATAATAAGTTTAAAAGAATGAATTTAGAAATAGTTGAAAATAGATTTTATTCTTTAGTGCAATTACTAATAGATATAATCAATTAGATATTGAATAATCCTTCAATATCAAATTATGCATAATTCTTATTGAATGTCTTTTTTGTGTTGCCCATTGGATTTGTTCTAATTAATAATTATAATCAAAAAGATATAACAGAAAAAAATATGAGTAAATAAAATATTCAAAATGTCATTTTAAAAATGATAACTTATTCCTGTATTTGCATTTATTTTGCATTTTAACAACCTATTTTAATAATTGTTCTCCATAATTTATAAAATTCAACTTAATCAGAGAATTATGCTTGGATTATTAATGACATTGTTTATTTAATAATTATCCTTTTAATTTTGCTGTTTTATTTTGTTCTCTTTGAAGGGACTTTAATTTTAAAGAATGGGTAATGCAAGAAACTTTAAGTTACATTCCAAGACTACTGCATATTTATATTACAAATTATGCAGCCTTGTATTTTTATATTTAGTCCTCTCAATTTTGCAATCTATGGTCAATCAATCATATTTTTGATAATTACATTCTTAGAACTTATTTCACTATATATATATAGAGCTTATTCTAACAATAATTAAATTTTGATTTTATTAATTACTGACTCATGTGGTTTAATTATTGCTATAAGTTCCATCACTCAAATTTCTGAACCAATGATATATTTGATACTTTTATCACCTTTTTTAATATATGTTGGTGTTTATGTACATAATTAGCAAAAATTTTAATTGTTAACGGCGAATTATTAAAAATTAAATTTATTTGAAGTGAATAATTTGATATGTTCATCTTTGACAACTTAAAAATTAAAATTAAAATAAACTTGTATTTTAAATTCCATATATTTATCTAAGCATTCTTAAGAATGTTAAAATATTGGATGCTTGTGTAGAACTTATGATTAAAGCTCTAGTAATACTAATAAAATGTTTGTAATTCCAGATATCATTAAGGAAGAGCTTTATTCAAAATTGGTTGTTAGAATGAAAAAATTGCTTTAAACTCAAGACCCAAAAGATTGTTTTTATTATTTAGTTCATTTCCTATAAGCTTAATAATATCATGGAGAAGTTTATGAAATATATAGTTAAGTAGAAAATAAATAAATTTTAAATAGTCTAACTTATTTCTAAAAAATCAAATGGAAATTCTTTATTATGATGATTAAACAGAATTTATATATTAATTTGAC